TAACCCAACCTAACCTAACCTAACCTAACCCAACCTAACCTAACCTAACCTAAGCTAACCTAACCTACTAGAATCGCCTCGTGGACCTTCTGTAGGTCTGCAACCAACATACTCAGTTCTGTGTCTCAAAGCCTTGGCTTGAAGCCCTTTCTGAGACATCAGTTAATGTTACTCAGTGCGATAGTAACCACAGATCACCACGTAAAAAATGGAGTTGCTTTCCACGTCAGGAAATTTCCCTTTCAATGACACGCAAGTACTTTAAACCCTCATGTCCCGCAAAAAAAAAAAAATAATAATAATAATATTGTGTACAATCACGGCCAGTAAGATCGCTGTTTGCGACACATGCGCAGAAGTCCCCCGACTCCGCCCTTAATTTTAGAATCGCTGTCACCCGCAGAACACGCGGCACGCTCTCCGCCTTTCGTTATTCATTTGTTTGTTCGCACTTCACTATTCAATTGTTATTTTCTATTAATAGTTCTTCTTCTGTTTTCATGTTAGGTTGGAATTGTAATTTGAAGGCTTTAATTTCAAAGATTCTTAAGATGATATAGTTGCGTCATATTGTGAAAATATATATTTACAAAGATTCTTGTGTATTCATTCATTTCAATCTTAAGACGTTAATAATTATGAACAGGTCGCATTTATTTATATCTTCTTTGGTAAAAAGTGTATAAAATGTCTAAAATGATCGCTCTACTATTCGATGCTCAGTAACAATACAGACGTTGATTTGTGAGGTACCCTGTTCGAATCTCAGCTGGGTTACCTGGTGTTCTAATGTTCTTTTTGTGTCTTCAGACGATACCCTGAAAGGGCTGTACTTTGCATAATTACCATCTGCAACTGAAATCGACACACTAAATAACACGAGACCCAATCACCGCCACACGTGACATTTACACGGTAACAAAACACAAAACAGAAATAAAGTGTGTTGATGAGAGTAATTTTTCGGGCTTCTAACTTGTTCCATGGTTCGGTGAAAGAGGGGGGGGACACTTTTTACATCTCAGAAGTTCTATTCCCTCGTCCGAACGAACGAATCTGTAATGAAGTCGACACTGAAAATATTTCGATTGTCGCCCACAGCGCGCCAACGGCACTTTCTGCAATTATTCTTTATTAACCGTACATATAAATCAATTCGACATGCAAGTGAGACGTTACGAACATTTCTTTTTTCCCAACTCAACTTGTTGGGGATCCGGAAGGAGAGTGAAAATTCCTCCGCACTCGCTCTGTGTAACGTTTTGCGTCCGCGCGTCGTCACAGAAGGAAGACGCCGAGAGTGACACACCGGAAGAGACGCCATATTAAGTGAAAGAGAGTTTGGGCGGAAGTGACGGCTAGAACAAAGAGATAAGGTTCCAACTTGGAAATGTGGTCGGTCAGTGAACACTGCAACGTCTCCTGGAACGGGTCGCAGTCAGCACGTAATCAGTAACTGCGGGAAATCAACTGTATGCGTGGTTGAACGATTTAGTCAACCGACTAACTAATTAACCAGCTACCTAACAGAATTATTAACAATCTGGATAGTGCAATATTATTTGCGGAGACCTTATATTCCATGTACATTTCTATTATTTCGAGAAAAATAATATTTTTTTTAAAGTTTTAACCACAAGAGCTCGTATACCCGTTACAAAACTATTATTTTTCTCGAATTACCGAATAAAAGGCGACTATTTCCCTAAGCAGCATTACACGACTGATCGTCGTCAAGGAGACAAGTTGTGTTTTCTTTGAGGGACAAACAAAATGTTAAAACATTATTTAGATGAGGTTTGTGCTATAATATCCTTATCGGAAGGACGAGCGGACATTGCCTGGGAACCTTCTAACTATAAAATGCACTGCCCCCCCACATTTTCACGGAACACAGTGGACCCGCGGCACTGAACAGCTGAAACAGAGTGTTTGTTGTTCGATTCCATGTCGGAGCATCATGAAAGTATGCCTGCATTCTGAGGCCACGGTATGGGCCTATCCCCTATATAGAGACTCCAATATGTAATTACTGTTTCTGAATCCAAACAGGGCAGAAAGCCAAATTCGAATTATAAAATTCACCAGGAAGGATAATGCGAGTTTGGCAATTATGACGCAAGGAGTTGAGGGGCCCCGACATTCGAGTGTTTGCCCCCCCCCCCCCCCCCGACAGCTCTGTGAATGGCTTTCGCAGATTGGATAGGGGACAGAAGGGGGGGGGGCGAGGGGAAATTAATTCCTTCTGTGCATACACACAATAATAATTTTATTGATTCGAGGCAGACAGTTATGAGGCAAAGTCAGTCGGAAATTGCTTGCCAAAACCAAAGCGAAGCTCCTCAATTTACATGTTAAGACTAGCTAAGTGGAAACGTGAACTCTGATTCAGGGTAGACGAATTTGGAATAGATAGTACTTACTTCCCCAGAGTCTCAAGAACATCCGGAAGGTGTCCCAGTATTTTCCAAATGTGATTTTGAATACGTCATGAACATCGCTGCTCGTCTATAGCTCATAGGCAAAGAGATACATTTACTGCTAAGTTAACCGCGTTACAGACGTGTTTATTACGTATCATACGTCCTTTTTAAACTCAATATAAGCTTGGCGTAAAAAAACGTGTTATATTGGACCAACACGAGCAGAGATTAAATTCGTCTACAGATCCATAATTTAATAGAAATCCGCCGAGAAGTTTCTGACATGAACCACACATCAGACACCCGTAACTAAAAGGTTTAAGACTGGTCGGCGCAAAGCATGGAGTTAGGTAAAGAAACAGGGCTTGAGAATGTGAATTGGATTCAGCTGGCTACATATACGAAAGCGTGACCACTGAACACGACAACTAACTTTTGGGTTCCATAAAATCAGAGAACGACTTAGTAGGATTTGGGGTTCTCACGTCGGTGAGTTCGGAGATGGCTGCCTTTTGGGTTGTACCGTCGTGGAGTCTGTTAAAAATTTGCATACGTTTCACACGTACTTGCTGCTTCCATCATCAGGGCGCCCCCTTCCACAACCGCAACTCTCATCAAGAGAAGTGAAATTTAAAAATCTGCCATAAAACCCTCTACAGCAGTTCATGAAACTTCAGAGGACAGATCGGCCATTAAAATAATCGACTGTCGACTGGGAGATCTCGGATCGATTCCAATCTTATGACACGAAATAATCTTTTCACTTCAATATTTATCTTAATACAGGATGAGCCAAAATTAGATCAAAATTTAAAGAAATTGTGACTCAGAAATTAGTTCTCGGCAGTCATATTGAGCACTTATAAAAATAATAAAAATTCTAAAAAAGAAAACTTCAAGCGTGCTTCAGTACTAC